TACGCGTTATGTGATTCGAAACGTCTCATATACTCCGTTATGCTGACTGCGAAACGTCTCATATACTGCCGTTATATATCGAAACGTCTCATATAGCTACGTTAGTGATCGAAACGTCTCATATACTACCGTTATGTGATCGAACGTCTCATATACCACGTATGTGATCGAAACGTCTCATATACTCGCGTTACGTGATCGAAACGTCTCATATACTCCGTATGTGATCAAAACATCTCATATACTCCGATTTTTTAACCCCTATGTGAAACAAACGTCATCTGATATCTTCCGTTATGTGATCAAAAACATCTCATATACGTCCGTTTGTGATCGAAAGCGTCTCATATACATCCGTTATGTGATCTGAAACGTCTCATATACTACCGTTATGACAAAATCGTCTCATATAACTCCGTTATGTGATCGAAACGTCCTCATTACTCCGTTATGTTGATCGAAACGTCTCACTCGCGGCTTGCGAACGGGTTAAAATACGTTCGCGCAGACTGCAAATCATCCAAATACAGTACTACTAATTACACGCAGGAGAGTGACTTACGAGATCAAGATGCGCTAGTACTGCTGATAGGGTCTATGTCGCGCCCAGGGACTGCCGGTACGTACCCTGGGTAATGAGTCGCGGTATAGCCGCGTACCCTCGGTACTAAATACTACTATCTAATATCGGACCGTACTTCGCCTACTCCACTAACGACTCAACGAGTCTAGAGAGCGCCTACGCCCTACTACCCTAACCCTAACCCAAATCCTATATCTAACCCTAACCATATCAGCTAGATAGTTACCAGGTTACCCAGGGTACGTTCCGGCAGTACCCTGGGGGGCATAGACCCTATCAGCCTTAGTATTAACAAGAAGAATAAGGTACCCGACCAACTTATCCAGCTGTTGCCTGAATGCAGATAGTCCTGCTGCTGTACAGAGAGAGCAAGCGAGCAGTGACCCAATGAAGAAACAGGAACTGCTGCTGTTTGTTTTTCGGCAAGCCTTGCCGTCTAGGAATTTCCCCCCGCGGATTACATGTGTGCGCCTAATAGAATAGCTGGTGGGCCTCTTGGGGGCTCTATAGTATGGCCGACGAACTAACTGTTCGCAGTTGGCTGTCCAGTAATGACAGCGGTAGGACAACAGCACGAAGAAGATGCACGTACATTTGCATGATTAGTGACGACCGGCCCGTAAGATAATTATTATCTTCCGTTATTATATTCCGTTATCGGCTGGAATAGTGCAGGAGAACAGAAAACTGTTGCAGGTTGATTTCGCGTGGTTGCTCGCATGAGCAGTGAGCACTAGTCGTACTTAGTAGTCACTTATCAGCCTGATTGACTGACTGCTTGCCTGCCTTCCTGCCTACCTGTCTGCTTAACTGCTTAAGTACTACAAACTGATGTGTGAAAACGTTGCCATGAAAGTGGTATGATCCACTGATGGCAAGAAGCTCGTAAGCTCATGTTGACACATATCTGTTACCAATGTACAGACTTTAAATTAAATTAATAAATACATAAAATAAATGATGTAACTATGATTATTCAGTGGTAAAAACATCCATTATCACAGAGTGTGGATTTCCTTTTTGAGCTGTCGCAAATATGATCAAGTATCCACACACCGAATTGTCGGATAGATACTCCGACAGCAACACACTGGAAAATTTATCGACCCTTGTTCGACGAAGCAGCGATATTCGCCCTAAATTTAATCAAAGCAACGGAAGATTCTTCCGTTTTTTTGCCGCGTCAACTCTTTTGTGACTGGAAAAAATTTCCGGGGGGAAGTACCAAAATTCAGATGGCTGGACGCGGTGGCAAATGTTAGGACGCCTGCTAGAAGTGTTATATTGGGTTTACACTGCCAACTTTGAGTTGGCGAATTGCCAAATTGCCGAATTAGAACATGTTCTAATCTCCGAACTTGCTGTTATCGATCGGTTGGACGTGCAACTTTTGCGTTGACACTGCCGATTGTCAGTAGCGAAATTGCGAAGTTGGTACAATTCGGCAATTCGCCAACACAAAGTTGGCAGTGTAAACCCAGCTTTATAATGGCAGCTTGATACCACCACGATAATGCTGAGGCACATCACAACCAGGGGCCCGTTGTCAGAAACAAAATTAGTCTTAACATTAGTCTTAACACTAACATTTTCTCGACAGCACTTTGTTTCGTATTGTTACGAGGAAATCTGCTACGATTTTTCATTCAGGTAACTTCGCAGCGTTTCTGACGACGGTCTAAGAGAAAAAGTTAATGTTAAGACTAATGTTAAGACTAATTTTGTTTCTGACAACGGGCCCCAGCTCTTTATGAGTCGATGCTTCTCATGAACACCTAACTTTGCCGGAACACTTTCAATCGACACTACCACGTTTCACAATGAGTGCATTACATCGTTCCTTCTGATTGCATGGTACACTTGGCATTACTGAATCTGTACAAATCAAAGAAGCGCTTTATGTGTTAAACTGTGATTAGTCACACAGCTGGGCGCAATGACAAAGCGTACCGGGTGTCGCTCTATATCGTAATGACTTTAGCTTCATTACACAAGCCGAGAGAAGTTAATGCTTACTAAGATTAAAATTTATATTTGATGGCAACTTCACAATGAGTAACGTCGTTTGCATAAGAATGAGCATGGCTTTCAGCAATACTTTAGTCACATTAGATTGTTACATCGCAAACTTGGTTGTTCTACATTCACTACCAATAAATTACCAATCGATTTTTAAGCTGCCAACTGATAAATTGATTTGCAAACATGGTACCATTGATTGTGCTGCTTATAATGCTAATGACAGGAGTTGCACTTTTTACATTTATTTCAGGAAATTTCAACTTTTACCAATAGTTTCAGGTAAATATGCATTGACTAACTATGTTGTCATAAAATGTTTACATGTTAAAATGTTACCTGGTGATTAATATTACATTGTTTTCATTGCAAGCCACCATCTAAAGAAAGAAAAATAAACTTCAAACCCCCCAAATTCAGGTCATTAAAATCTTTCCTGCACCTTCAAACGCATAGCGTATAGCTACAGGCGCATAGGGCGGTGCCTATCTCCGTTTCAGTAACCCTGAGGCACCGCAGCTGCTTTCACAGTAAATGCTACAGTAGGGGGGTTAGACCACTGTAGTAAAGTCAAAATGTAAAAATTCAGGTCATTGTCGTTCAATTAATGTCATCATTGTTCAATTTACGTCATCATCGTCCAATTGACGTCATCACAGCGAGCGATAGCGAGTGACATTAAAACAAAGACAACAACCGACATGCGGTGACATTATAACATGTAAAAGCTAGTCTAGCATGTAGTTATTCGATTTTAGTAATTTCTCATTGACATCGTGTAACTGTAGAGATTAGTACATGGAATTAATGTAGCAGCTAATTATCGTGACATACTGTTAAACTTTAATGTTATCAGTATTTTTGTTTTAAAGGAATTATTTCATAAATAATTGCACACAAATTTTAAGAAAACTATAGCGAAATATAGTCTTACCTAATAGTGAACATGTTAGCGATAACTCCAGTCTCCAGTATAGTTTATGCTGTTATGGTAATAGCAAATAACGCAGGCATTCTTTCGCATAGCGACAATTCCCTTGAAATCGGCAACCACCAGACAAAAGTGCATCTCATTTGTAGATAGCACAGTCTTCTATGTTCTACCCACACACAAGATGAAGTTACAACTGAAGCGGTGCTGATGGCATTCAAGGCACTGCAGTCATACATTCCAATTGTTCTATTATCAATGACAACACTGGCTATTCATCTATTTTGTAAAAAAAAAGGAGGGCAAAACACAACTAAAATACGTTTTCAATGTGCTACCATTATCTACAGGTGAAACTGAATGGGGTTTTATCGTACTCTCATTCAGCCACACAAATAAAATGGAACTCCTACTGCGTACTTGTGTGTCAGTTTCATGCAGGACAGTGTTTCGCACACACAGCAGCATTGCCATTCCACATTCTACACACACACAGTGCATACAATAGCTAGGAATACAAATGATAATATATTATATTGAATTACACCATTTAAAGGCATTTATGCACATATTAAAAATATTACCACGAGACAACACACTTTACAATATTTGCTGCATGTCAGTGTCATTTGTGCAGTAAGAGCACCAACTTTTTACTTTTCTCACTGCCACAATATTAGTGAGGTGTACACATCACTCAACTATAGTATACATCAGTCCCAGCTTCATCAAAGTATACTACAGTACATGCCAAGTTAGCCAATTGTTCAGCAAGTTTAGGCTTGGTATGGTACATAATGCTAATAGTTAATACATTAAATACTTGTTAAGTTGTTTGTCGCCATGTTATAGGGGCAAATATTTATAATAATAACATAGCGTCTAGCTCATTTTCAGTAACATTTATTAATTCGGGTTCACTTATACGATGTGCCACTGGACAATATCAAGGACAAATAACTACAAACCTTCCTTTGATAACTGCTGCAATGGAATGTACGGCAAAACCACATGACTGTGACACTGATGCTGATAGGGTATATGGTATACCGTATACGGTATACCGGAACGTACCCTGGTAACTATCTGACATGGTTAGGGTTAGGGTTAGGGTTAGGTCCAGTAATAAACATCATCCTATCCTATCACCGTCCTGGACACCATCTATATCCTTAAACAAGGGTTAGGGTTAGGGTTAGGGAGTAGGCGTAGGCGGTTCCCTAGACTCGTTAGTGGAGTAAGCGAGGTACGGTCCGGCATATTAGATAGCACCCGGGTACGTTCCGGTATACCGGACTGTACCCAGGCCCAGGGTACGTTCCGGCAGTACCCAGGGAGACATGATATAGTCTAGACCCTGGCAGCGACACTGATACTGATACTGTGATAGTGATACAGTGATGATAGGCCCACGGTGACGACCTTACAAGTGACAGTGTACTAAAACTACTACGTGGTTTTACTTACGATTAGTACTGTATCCGAAAGAGTCCGTCCGATTTAGAACTCTGAACTTTCCGGTTCCAGTGTGACAACTCTGCTCTCTGCAAAAAAAGTTTAGTTGTGTCATAAATATATTACTTTTCAAAACGAAAGCAACAGAAATTTCGCGATACAACCAGGCACACTTACCACAAACGTGAAAGTGAACGTAATAGTCCGAGTTCCGGTTCTATCACTCCGCTCAAAATGTAAACACCTCGGCAATTCGCCAAGCTGTCGTTAGTTACAGGAATTCTACCAATAGAAGAGGAGGTTTCTGCTGGCGAATTCGCAACTTAGTTCCACATGTTTTCAATAATGACTGTTTTATAACACTTTATCTGTACGAAAATATTACAGGAAATGGTCTTTATTTTTCACTTCATATAAATTTGTGTGAAACACTTCTTAAATAAGATGCTTTTATTACAAAATGGTGACCTAATATCACAGGTCAAAGGTCAACAAATATGGAAGTATGGGAGCGCAAAATTTTTCCATTTTGTGAAAGGAAAATAAACTAGGTAGTTGTTTTATCTGTAATCCATTTTAGTTTGGTAAGTACGTCAACTGTACTTTGTTTTGCTATGTCAGTTGATTGTTTTTCGTTGTGAATTTGCTGACATGGTCATAGCATTTACACGAAAACGACGTTTTGCTCATGTTTGTTATTATCTAATTCTAAGGAAATGTCTTCAATAATCGGATCTGATGGCGGTAGTCATGATAAGGCTTATTAATCTGGTACTAATACTAACACCGCAATACTTTCGATATTTCTGTCGTATTTATACTCACACTGCGCTTCACAAATGAGTTAAATGTGTATTTATTATTTAAAATTTTAGGATACACATTTAACTTTAACTTAGGTACCCCGTATTCATCGTCACCAATGGCAATGCTCCAAAGAAACTTGTAGAAAGGCTCACGAGTCATGTTAATCCTAATTTAGCAAGTTTCATGCGAAACACAAGTCAGCTCATGTGAGCAAGCTAAACGTACGTCCACGAAACAAGTCGGCTTGTGTGAACAACTTGCTAAACGCACGTCCACGAAACAAATCGGCTCGTGGTGTTATTGACTATTGTAATATTGAGACCGCTGCTAAACTTGATTTATTGTGTGGTAAATATATTATTACCCAATACTATTGGCAATAGATAGGAGTGCCTGTGCAAATATAAAATGAGTGGGCTGTGTTTATATCTACCCTAGTCTAGAGAGACTAGACGGTGAATTCCACACTGGAGACATCGACTGGCATACAAACTCTGTGGAATCTGGTGCTCACAAGCCCGGTGTATGCCAGAAATTACTTGATATCCAAGACCAGCACTCGCTCTCACAACTACAGTTTTAACCGACGAGAGAAAACAGTAATCTTGATCTTTTCTTTACAAATAATCCGTCACTTGTAAAGAAAGTCCAAACTGCACCATGGGTCGGAGACCACCACATGGTTATCACCAACTGCGACATAAACCCCTTGTACGTGAAAACCAAGCGACGATCAGTACCACAGTACATCAAGGCAGACTGGGACAAAGTCAGAGCAGTTCTAAGCGGAAAAACTGCAGCAGGCGGTTCTCGAGCCCGATCTGTTCCACCAACGTTCGGTCAATGGCAACTGGACCAAATTCAAGGACGGTATGCTTAGCTTAATCCAGAATTTCATCCCACATAAAGGAATAAAAGGGAACAATAAGCTACCATGGGTTAATGGAGCAATCAAGAAAAAGCACCGTCTCTTTCACAAAATACATCAAAACCGCAGTGCGGACAACACACTCTGGTATAAAACACAGAAGAAACTCGTTCGGAAATTAATAAACCAATCACATCGGGTATATCTGAGCCAAATCCTCAATCTCAGTCTCAAAGAGAATAACCCAAGAACATTTTGGAGATAAATTAAATCTCAAAAAGCAGACAATATAGGAATATCCCCTCTTCGGGAGAGTGGAAAACTTTATGCAGATTTTGAAAACCAAAGCTGAACTCCTGAACGACCAGTTCAAGTCTGTGTTCACCCAAGAAAACACTAGTAACATTCCTGCCATTCAAGGTGAACCGAAACCATCTATTGGCGATATCACCATAGATGAAGCTGGCGTGAAAACGCTTCTCAGTAGAATCAACCCAAACAAGGCCTGCGGTCCGGATACCATCCCCAACCGCATCCTGAAAGAAACAGCTCACGAGATAGCACCAATAATGAGTGCGATTTTCCAACAATCCCTTGATGATGGTCAACTACCCTCCAACTGGAAAAAGGCTTTCGTTACTCCAGTATACAAGAAAGGAGACAGGCACGCATGTGAAAACTACCGCACAGTGTCTCTGACATGTGTCTGCAGTAAACTTCTGGAACATGTAATTTATCGTCATATACTGTCACACTTGGAAACCCACAACATCCTGACCAACGTTCAACACGGCTTTCGACGAGAACATTCCTGTGAGACCCAGCTACTGGCTACCGCACATGACCTCCTACAACAACATGATAACAAGGCACAGATCGATATAGCCGTTCTGGACTTCACCAAGGCATTCGACACGGTGCCCCATCAGAGGTTGCTGAAGAAGCTAAGCCACTACGGCATCAGAAACCACATACTCAAATGGTTCCAGGAATTTCTCTGTCATTGATCACAACAAGTGGTCGTGGAAGGGGAACACTCCGATTGTGTTTCAGTGGACTCGGGTGTTCGACAGGGAACTGTCCTTGACCCTTTACTGTTCCTTCTACACATCAATGATCTACCAGCCACTGTAACCAGCAAAGTGCGATTGTTCGCCGACGATTGTCTCCTATATAGGGTGATCAACTCCATCAAGGATCAGCACATGCTGCAGCAAGACTTGTCCATCCTTCAATCCTGGGCCGAGACCTGGGGGATGCGATTTAACGCCCAGAAGTGTTACATCCTGCGAGCAACACGGGAAAAAAAGTCGCTATCGTACTTCTACGAAATAGATGGAAAATTTCTCCAGGAGGTTGAGTCAACTCTGTATCTCGGCGTAATTCTCTCTAACACCCTGAAGTGGGACAAACATATCAATAGTTTATGTGCGAAAGCCAACAGCACCCTTGGCTTCGTCAAAAGGAATCTGAAATACGCTCCCAAAACGCTGAAATCCACAGCATACAAATCTCTCATTTGGTCTTAAGCTAGAGTATGGCTGTACAGTCTGGGGACCCACATTTAAAAAGACATCGAAAAAATTGAAATGATCCAACACCATGAACTGCAACGATTTTGGCAGAACCAACAGCGTAACTGCAATGTTACAATCATTTAATTGGCCGAATCTTCAACTACGCCGTAAAGAGAAGCGACTCAACGTTCTCAACAAAATTCTCTCTGGAAGTACTGCGATCCCCAAAGTCCAGTACATCAGCACATGAGCAAAAACGACAGCAAACTCACACAGTCATCACAACATCAACAGAGGAATTCAAGAACTCATTCTTTCCACGGACCATTGTGGACTGGAATGCCTGCACACAGACTGTAATCGACGCCATCTGTGTTGCGGTCGCAGCCGGGAGCACCTAATTTCACCATGCCCCACCACATGCGTCATAATACGCGGTCGACGCAGTACACAATCAAGATCAAGATCAAGTCTTTGAATCTAATATGTGACCTATACTATAGTTTCCCTTCAAAATCATACCAAGATAAGCATTTGTGAGAAGGTGTAAATATGTTGTTTGTTGCCCTCGCTCTCGATTCCGTTGCCTTGAAGCCAAATTTGGATGTACTGCAACGTACTACAACAGAAACAACAGTTGTATTGTTGCATGGGGTTTGTTGTTGGGTAAAGCAGCGCATACTGCACCCTTTAGAACAAGTGCCATGAAACATACTGTTTTAAGTGATGGTATCACAACAAATCAGAAATATTTAGACTTAAATTTGACATATATAACTAAAGTACTATAATTCTTCTAACTCATTATATTTAAAGTTTTTTCGATATTTATTGCTATAATCAAATAAATCGACATATATCTGTACCATTGCATGAAGTATTCGAGTCGCTGAAATTTGTAAACACCACTAGGAGCGGTATTGTTATGAATATTTTGATCAACATAACACCAACAACTTGAAAATATTTATACCTAAGTTCGGCAGGTAAACATAGTTATGAGTTGAATACTACAGTAATTGCCATGTTTAGCAGATTTTACTAATTTTAAAGTAGTATAACTTTATAGGTGCATCATAATGAAGTTCAAACTGACATTGCGTCAATGGTCGGTTTGGTATGCGAAAATTCTACATGTTCTGGTTTTTCAGGTTAATATTTTATAATGTACTTAACAGATGTGATAAAATATTGAAATCAGATAGTTACAGCATATCTTCAGTAAATTTCAAATTTTTAGTAAACACTGCCCCCATGGTCTTATAATTATTGTCATTTAAATGTGCCGATCGTTTTCCACATAAGAACTCATTTTGTTTGCAATCATGTATCCCCGGTGAGTGTGATTATTTAGTTGAAGGTATAATCAAACTATGATGAATAATATTGCTGTAGTGGTATTAAAAACAAATAATGTGGAAAAATGTAGGAAAATTGCCATATGCATATATTATACTGAGCGGTCACCATAATGACATATACTACATATAATTACTATTAACATGAAAGATTCATGTTTAGTGTGCACATCTGGTGATCCCTGGTGAATTATTGCCAAACAAAAACAAATGCACTTGCCCAGCTGGCAGGTAGGCTGGACGACATTAGTCGTTTTAAGGTTTCAACAGTTACATATAAGCAAGAGCGGATAATAGGTATTATCCGCTCTTGATATAAGTAATTTTGTGCATTGCATGACTTAATTCATAGTGGTCGATCAGAACAATATGCTATATTTTCATATTTTGTAATACGTAAATAACAAATTATTCATTCACAAATTTTGAATACTTGCAATACAAGTTATCAATAAATTAATTCTCATTAGGCTCGATCCAGATTCCTAAAACCCAATGATATGGTTTGTAATACTTGAAACTTGCTAACTGTGTTATCATGTGTATTGGTTAAACTCAAGGAAGTGTGCCTTCTTCTTTTTCAGTTGTCAATGGGAGACAAGTAAGCAGAAAAACTGCATACAAACTGTAACAGCAGTGCATTGAATATATTTCACTAGCGACGATGAGTGATACTGCTTCAAGTCAAGGCAGTACGGGCAGTAGCCCGCAACAGCAGCAGCAGCAGCAGCAACAACAACAGCAACAGATGACACAGGCGAACACACCTGTTAGCTACCAGAGTTTACAGGCAAATACTCCCAGTAGCTACCAAGGTTTGCAGGCCAACACTCCAGCCAGCTACCAGAGCTTACAGACAATGCAAACATTAGCTCAGAGTAACTGCAATGTGGTGAACAGTCTGCCGCGGCCACTCAGCGTGCCATCACTCTCACAGTCACCGTTCCCTCACACCCAGGTTAGTTCCCTGCGGAAATTAGATTTTAGATGTTATCATGTATAAAGCACAACTATAATGTATAAAGATAATACATATATATATATAGGAATTGACATTATTGCAAAAATAATTGTCTCCCTATTGTAGAAGATTAGCCACAGGTATAAGTTAAAGTTAAGCAATGCAAATACTGAATTCAAGGTCTATTATTTAGTGGTAGTAATTAAAAATATTTTATAAAGGTAATCGTAACCATGCTGTGGCTCGTAAGGAATGAACTCACATGTTTTTGGCCAGTTATTTTGAACATGGCTTAAGTAAACTGTTTAATGTAATTTATAATATTTGCCTAGCATTACTTTTCTTTCTGTAGTAATTAGTAAATGTAGCTTTTAAAGCCCTTATTCTGAATTTGTGTATCTGAGAGTTGTAAGCATTGTAAAACTACAGCTATACATGTTGCTATTTTTAAAAGGTTATACATATCATGTGGATATTTCCATGAATATTGTGTCGTCTCATGCAACATTTTGGGTTTCTGAATTTCATCTTTTAACGGATCATGTTTTCAGCTGCAAGTAATTCACAGTCCTCCAGTATTTCAACAGCTGTGCAGTCCACAAGGACAATCTCTCATGCTGCCCCCTGGTAGCCTTTCCCTCCAAGTAAGTATTGTCCTATATTATAGATAACCCAGACCATAGGAATTGATGTGATATATATTATATATATATATATATATATATATATATATATATATATATATAATATATATATATATATAAATGCATTTATCATATATCTATTTATAGTTTATCTGTATATTTGTATATTTCATGCCGACGCATCTATCTGTCTGTCTGAAAGAGCAATTAAAATATGTATGAATATGTGGATGTTTTAAATGCATAGTTTATGTGTGCATACATATATATGTACGTATAAAAATCTAATGAAGCGAAATATGTTTACCGCCCCTCTTTAGATTTTCATTAAGGAACAACCCACCGTCTTATTCCCCCTCTCACACACCAACTTAATATGTATGCACCCCTCGTGATCTTTTAGGCGATGAACCCACAGCTACAGTCATTAAATACAGCAATGGCAGCTGCTAATAATTTGAATCAGCAGCAACTGCAGGCAATGAACTCAAACTGTGTGGCTCCACCTGCTGGGCAGGCACAGAACATGAGCGTGCCTCTGCAGCCAAAGAGTCCCAAGTCTCCAGGCGTCGCTCACGTAGCCGGCACACCGACACCAACTGGACAGGTATCAACAACAAACCCATACACATATTACAGAGACTCCCCGACTTACGAACATTCGAGTTACGAACTTTCGATGATACGAACAATTTGCCCTGAAGTCTATTAGTGTATAATGTCTATATTGGGGAATAAAACGACACAATCGCCCTCCCCCCCTCTGATTTTGACTTTCGCCAACTCCTGTGTTCACGTATATGTTTACACTATGTACACTTCTAGGTTACTCGATGTTCACACGTACATATACTACACTACTGTACAATACTGTATACGTACGTACATGCGTTCGACTTACGAATGACCGCTCGGAACCGAACCTGTTCGTCAGTCGGGGAGTCTCTGTATAAGCTAATCGGTTAGCACTCGGCTAAAAAATTGCTTGTTGGTAGTAATCACCTATTGCGTATATTTCCCCAGTGCATATAAGCCAAATTTTTTTCAAGTTGCGTAGAATGGATTTATTGATTAGTTATATAATAACTGCAGTATGTAGGTTATTCTGTGTATTACACTATAGTTAGCTGCGTTCAAATAAACAGTGTGGAGAGGAAAATAATTATGATTGGCTATTGCTTTCACAGAGTAAGCTCGGTGGTTCGAACAATGTTAATGTGGGTGAGAAAATATGTTACATGTTATTGGTGCTATGGAGTAAACCATGGTTTTTCAACAAAGGTTGTATTAGGACCTTTGTATTCACCAAAACATGCAAGTTCGATTACCAGCGAGCCTTATCTTGTAATCTTGGACCAGTTAGTAGCGCTACTAACGCCATCTATCGTCCACAGGCACGTCTCTCGCAAAATGTCGTTTGCACCGACAAATTACAAGTGGACACATTTTGACGGTGTCCCGGCACGATAAAATTTCAGTGTGTTACGATATGTTCATATCCAATTTTCTATGCTATAACTGCATGAAGCCTGAGTGTTTCTCAAGTTAGTTTAATAAGTGATATATCCGCTGCGAGGTGAGAATATATTTCACTATATTTTTTCGGATTGGGTGTTTCTGAGCAAAAATCTCGTAATAAAAACTATGTAGATGATGTGTACATGTAAAATACATGTACATTCATGTAAGATCGGATACTAGTAGCTTCCTTAGATTTACCCGCGATTACCTCTCGCGACAGGCGAAGGGGTCGCCGACAGCACAGCCGATGGTGCGGCCGGTACAGACGCCCGGCTCCTGCGTGATGACCCCACAGATCATGTCCAAGCCGCTGATGCAAAGCCCCAGTCAGCCACTCATCCTCGGTCAACTAGGCATGCTGCCCGGTCAAGCGATGGCCACTGACCAGCACGGCATCTTCATGAGCCAGGGACTGCAGGTATATGTCGGTCGCGCAACGTGTTTGCCGATGGTTGACATGCAGACTTGTCTCATCGTTGTAGACAGGTGGCGGGAGTCACCATGCTGCCTTACAGACGTCGATGTCTCCGTATCGCAGATCAGAAGCTGCAAATTTATCTAATTATATATTCATGTATTCGCCGGGAGTTTGCGAATGATTTAATTTGAATCTGCAAGTCATCATGTCTGTGTGTGTGCTCTGGTTCCATGTTCCCTGTAATTGTAAGTGTAAATGTGACCTCATGTCAAATTTCGAGGACATCCTCTTCGTACAGAGGTTTCCTGCCTTGACACGGACCTCGTCCATTGCACTGAGTATCTTCATCTTCTCTGATGATTTCTTCCTTCCTTATGCTCCCTCTTCACTATTCTGAAATTTTCCTATACTATGCCGAACCTTTCCGTTCCTATACCAGTGAGATTTCTATATGATTGTGCTTGTATTTCCCTGCATTCGTCTCCTGTCTTAGACAATTGGAAACTTTGTGGTCATCGATTCCACCCCTCTCCTTTCACCACTTCCGGCTTGCTACGCTTGCTCCAGCCTCCAACCTCGATCTCTGAATTTCCTTTGGGTGATGACTGCATTTGTGAGCATGAACTGTGCATGGAGACAAAGTGTGAATCTTAATGCATTTGCGGAGTAACCCCTGGCCCGTCCCACCCGCCCACTACTCACGCATGGTGTGCTGCCATCGTTCTGTGCGGAGGCATGCATGCGTGGCTGTTAACAACCGCCGGGAACGTTCAACCTGTGTCGTCCGTACAATCACATCGTGCCCTACACGCAGACCTATAGATTATGACCAACAGGTGGCGCTCACATGTAATCAAAGCATACGCCGCGTGGAATACTCCTCTACAGTTAATAACAGTGTGTAGCAAGGAGAATATGTGAAGACGCGTGTATCCGGCAGCTAGTGTACTCTGTCTCGACTTCAGCACGAGGAAGTGAACAAACTGCTAATTGATTTTGGATGATTAAAGTCGAACCGCGATGCCCCGTCGCATATTCTCTAAACTCTAAAGCATCGTTACTTCAGTCACTCTCGAGGCGGTGTGAGTTGCATGCGAAGGTTGGGAAACGGAAAAGAACACGGGCGTCGAACTGACTGTAGGCGTGTGTCACTTGCACTCGCTACCGTCTGGAGCGAGATCCTACGGTGCCTGCATCGTATGGGGGGCAGCCATTGTAGACATGGGGTGGGGGAGAAAATCGGTGGGGACGCATTAGAATACAGGGTGATTACTAAGGTGGGCACTAGGTAACAACCGCCACTACTTCACATCTGTAACGTTTTTCGCTGGTAGCGACAAGTGGAAATACGACATTTCTGTAGTGTTATGAGTTAACAAAACTGCTATATATATATAGTAGATGGACGTTGGCGATTTCTCATATTATCAGAATTCATAACACATAAATTTCGATGAATAATCTCTACATAGAGTTACGATAAGGATGTGAGTTACTAGTGATCTTCAGCTTGGTCATGAGCAATAAGGGAGTAGAATGCTGAGTAAACAAATATATATCATTGAATACTGGTTAGGCTGGTGAAGTGTAAGCAGCAATACAAATTGAAACCAAACGAACGAACAGTGAGAACGTTTGACATTCAAGCAGTGGATTCGCGACCACTACGGGTGGTCGGATTCCCCGGACTCATGAGGATAAGCCTCTAATAAGTAACAAAAAAAACAAAAACAAACAAAAAATGCAAATAGATATGACTAGTCTTTCAATGGAAGGTACTGGAAACTAGCTTAATTAAGCAGTCCTTGTTGGGTTGGATGTAGTAGGTGCATTATTTACACGTGTTGGCTAGCATTTATGATCCTAGACCCAATGATTCTTGGATGATTCGAGGTTCGTGTGATAAAATGGAGCGTGCGTGATCGGAGTAGAAATCTCCACTTGTCGCTCCTGGCGCAAAGCATTACGATAAATAAGTACACGTGGTTGTTAACTAGTGGCCACTGGTTACTAAGCCGGTTAGGTAACTACGGTGCTGGAAGTTCATTAGGTTTTACCCGTGAGTGCGTGTGCATGCGTGTGTGTATGTGCGTGTGCGTGTGTGTAAAATTATGATTTCAGTGCTGTTTTGTTGCATATGATAGCGTTTGGTTATGGGTGCTGCACGATCTGGTGTAAGCTCTGAGCTCTTCCCTGTCTGTGTTTTGTTTGGCTGTTGGTGGGAATCTGTGGGGCCATCCTTAAAAAATTATATGTTTGCTGTCCTCCGACCGACCCACGAAAATAGCCGCGATCCAAAAGCTTTTTTTTGACATTTTGGGTTCCATATTTTTTTTCTTTAATTTTTTTTTTTTATAGTTAAGACTGAAACACAAAGCATGTGTGGCAAACATGAGGACAGACTTAAAATAACTATTATGCCTCACAAAAAAATGACCTACCTACCTACCCACTAAAAAAATCATGGGTCGGGGGACAGCAAACATAGAATTTTTTAAGGATGGCCTGGGATATGTGTTAATAGGCACCGGAAGAAGGCATGTTGGCTTGCACAACCACTCTCATACTACTCACACACAATATCAGGGATGTGATGTTTCCTCCAGTACGTGGAATTATGCATTAACGACCCCCAAAATCGGTGCCTCTCATGAATCATGTGAAGTCCTGGACAAAAAGAGATGGACAAAAAACATTTTCATAATAAAAACTTTCCAGTATATGTTCTAGGTCTAAGTTGAGATATTAGTCCACTTACCTTAGCATCATGTTGCAGGCATGGATCATTTTTTTGGATTTAAAATAATTCTTCGTTAAGTATTGGCTTGATTATATACATTCATAATTTCACTTGTATATTAGATTATGTTAAAATAGAGCCTCAGAATCCCCTGGAATACATCAATTTGCATCTCGCACTTAAAAAAAAATGTGGGTAGGAATCATACCCACGGACATTTGTGTTGATTGAGATTGGCAACAGAATTTTCAGCCCGAATCACCAATAGTCACTTCCATGTACGTCACATCCCTGTATGCATCATCACCAAACTGTCCACTGCACATGTTCACAATTGCTGCAGGAAGATTGTTTACTGAGCTACAGAGCAAATTTCATATACACATCGTTTCTTATGCATAATACCTGTAACATGCTTGCCGAAACCTAACTAAGTGAGAGAAAAAAACATACGCTATATATATATATATATATATATATGCTTCTTTGCGAATGCTGACGTTGCTTCAAGCTGTCTAATACTTTGCTTGTGTATTCGAAGACACTTTGATATCAGTGATTATTGCAGTTGTTTGAATTTGGCGTGTTCTTGTTTATTTGAATCACGAGCACATGTTTGGTGTAATTATCGACTATGAGTTGCGTTGTTTTGCCTCGGCTTGTGTTTTTTTGTGTGGTTTGTGCATGCATATGGTTGTTTAGGCATGGTTTCTTTTTTCTTTTTTTTCCTCCCCCCCGGATGTTTTTGACCGTGTTTAGGCCAAACCCCCTAAGTCCCAATCATGTCTTCATCTTCCAAGCCGCAGCCCAGACCCAGGTCGTACCAAGCCAGTTCATGCATGGAAAACACTAGCCCCGGTCAGATGGTGAACAAGCAGGGGCAGATCTGTATCGCGAGTTCGCGCAGCAGCCGACGATACTGACCACTCAGCCGATGTTGACCACCCAGGCACAGCTGATCAGCCATCTCAGGCCATGGTAAGATACAATAGAAACAAGAGCTGCCTGGATCAGCACTATATGGTGTTGTTACACGGGTCCAACACTACTGGTAATGTTAGATGGTCACGCACTATACTGGTGGTACAGTGGGCCCGCACTACATGTAATTGTTTAGATTGCGTCAGCACTATATGGTGTTGTTACAGTGGTCCAACAACACCGTGTAAATGGTAGATGGGTCACATATATGGTGTTTATAGTGGTCTGCACGACGTGTAAAATGTTAGATTGGGTCAGCACTAACTGGCTGTTTGGACAGGGGCCCACACAATGTAAATGAACTGGGTCAGCACTAATGGGTTTTTACAGTGGGTCGCACTACGTGGGAAATGTAGATGGGTCAGCACATAGGTGTTGTTACGGGGTCCGCACACTGTAAATGTTAGAGTGGGTCAGCACAATATGGTGTGGACAGTGGACGCACTACATGGAAATTATAGATTGGGTCACACTATATGTGTGTACAGTGGTCCGCCACTAGTGGTAAATGTTATGATTGGTCACGCACTATACTGGTGTGTTACAGTGGTCTGCACTACGTGGTAAATGTGAGATGGGTCAGCACGATATGGGTGTACAGTGGGCGCACACGTGTAACCATTGTAGATGGTCAGGCACTAAATGGTGTTGACAGGGGACACTACGTGGTTAAATTGTTAGATGGTCAGCACTATATGTGTGTTACAGTGGTCGCACCTTACGTGTATGTAGATGGTCAGCACTATTTGGGTGGGTTACAGTGGGTCCGCACTACATGGTGTTGTTACAGTGGATCCGCACTACGTGGTAAATTGTTAGATTGGGTCAGCACTATATGGTGTTGTTACAGTGGGTCCGCACTACATGGTAAATTGTTAGATTGGGTCAGCACTATATGGTGTTGTTACAGTGGGTCCGCACTACATGGTAAATTGTTAGATTGGGTCAGCACTATATGGTGTTGTTACAGTGGGTCCGCACTACGTGGTAAATTATTAGATTGGGTCAGCACTATATGGTGTTGTTACAGTGGGTTCGCTTCTAGCACACCTAGTGTAGGAATATCTCAATATCTGTGCTATCTGTCCGCTTGGTTCTAATGCCTTGGCAGGGTTGGAGATATACATGTACAGGGTTCGAAGTTAAAGACAGCTAGCCGCAGTTTTGCTGCCTAGAAGAGCAAATACTTGCTGCCAAGAAATGCCTAATTAATCATAGGAGTAAAAGCACCAAAGATTATGCCTGTTATGAGTAAATTCGCTGCCTGCTCCTTTCTCTAGCAGCAAGTAGTTACTGGCAGATAAAAAAGTCAACTTCTAACCCTGATATACATGCACTGCTATGTAGCATTGCCATACAACTGTCAACTTACAGCTTGCCATATTCAGTCATGTGCATGTTGCTAATATGTAGGCAAGCCTTTCGCATTATTTGCATCCCAGACTAGAAGTTTAACAAACAGGTAAAGCAACTTATACTGAGCATCTTTCAATGTTCTTTATGGCTCTTACGTGTTAGTGTTTGTGGTTAAGGCATGCGAGACTGCATTCATGTATGAATTCATATTTATCTTGTGTTAAATCCAAAAAATTAACTTACTATCGAAATTTTAGAATTCATAGAAATTAAGATGAATTCATAGTTTTCAACGAAATCCAATGAACTTATTTCATGCATTCATGTTGTCTAGAATGCTTCTAGTTTTTCTCCATGGTTAAATGACGAAACAAGCTTGATTTTTTTGACCAACTCACTTTCCGAGTTGCAAATCTGCAGTGGCTGTGGTGAGGGCATAGCGATATTAGGGGAGCTAGGGGGTAAGAGCACTATAGGCAATAGGTTAGCATCTTATAGCGATCAGACGACCTGGAGGCTATGTGACTGGTTGGTCTGACTGCCCCCCTGTGACTGCTCGCTCGCTCATGCCTGCACAAATAGAAAGCATTCGAATTATCTACGTATAGCATGCTGTGAATACCTGGCAACGTGCTGCTATCACTGTTGGTGTCCGCAGAGATGCCAACCACTACGATTTATCCGTATTTTATACGAATTTCGTTTGCATTTTGACCACTACGACCAGTTTGCATACGATCGGGAAAAAAATACTACGATTTTTATTACGATCGAAAAAAAATCATTTTGATGATATTTCAAGTGTTTTCTTTCAGTGTTACATTGATATAACATGATTGAAAATAACTACATGTATTTAGCAGCAAATATCAGTGTGAACTTATTGTCATTTTGGGTGCCAGAATGCAGGAAATTGCATTTCGGAATCAAAATTTTTTCGGGGGCCCCGAACCCCTTCTAGCATACTCGGATCACTGCGTGACCCTCGGACTACAGATTTTAGACATCCTCACTACAGTTTGCTCAGAAAAGTGTTGGCATCTCTGTGTCCGTGTAGCGATGAGGGGTAGTAAGTTAGAACATTCTAGAACGAGTATATTACTGGTTATATTTAGCATAGAATATGGCTGGAATGTTGTTGCTATGTTATGTGGGCATATATGAGAATGTCATGCTAACATTATTTGGTATTGTGTACCGTATTTTACAGCTCATTGGAGTCATTTCATTTTCTCGGAATCCTTGCAACTTGCAGTCTATAAACTGACTATCTGTGTAGCAAACTTATTATAGCTAAGATTATTAAGCTATTTACATAGTAGAGTATATTATACATCTCAGCGGAATAGCCTACAGTATATATTTACCGTAAGGAGGGCTTAGAAAATTTGAGGTGTAGGAACAGAAAAGAAGGATAAGACCTTGTTTATGCTGAGGATAAAATTAATACTGTTGGGGTTATTATGTAGTCGGACTTTTTCATATTATTACCTTCTGAATTTAGGGGTGCATCTAATCAAGGGCATACAAACCCTTTATATGCTCTAGAGATAAGGGTTGTATAACTTATAAGGGGTTATAATATGCTATTGATATATTGCTTCAGAGCATTGTGCATACGTGCGTGCGTGCGTGCTTCTGTGCGTGATTGAATACGTTTCTGTGCATGCAATCTACCCTGCGTGCGTGCGTGCGTGCTTCTGTGCGTGATTGAATACGTTTCTGTGCATGCAATCTACCCTGCGTGCGTGCGTGCGTGCTTCTGTGCGTGATTGAATACGTTTCTGTGCATGCAATCTACCCTGCGTGTGTGCGTGCGTGCGTGTGTGCGTGATTGAATACGTTTCTGTGCATGCAATCTACCCTGCAGGTCGTGCGCTGCGGTTGGGCGTGTGCGCCGGCGTGCGGGGCGGTGCGTGGCTTCTGGTGTGTGATGGAATAGTTTATATATTCATGATAATATAGATTACATCAAGAGCGTATAAAGAAGGAGACGATACAAACGGTGGTGAAATGGGCTGGAAACCATGTTGCCCAGATAGTTTTAGCCGAAGATAATAAACGTTGTTCCCGTTTTGATTTTGACATCTTTGCGGGTATTATTGAGATCAGGCTAGACCTTTGCTAATATAAAACAAACCGCTTGTCCTACGATGGCCCCTACGCCTGAGATAAATGAGCGGTGAAAATCTGTATTTTCGCCCAAAAACCGACCGGAGATCACTGTTTACTGCCCGACTGTCGCTCGCTTGTAGATAACTTCGGGATAACCGTCGCGTGTTGTCCTGTCAAGATTGACAAATGAATAAATGACGCTGTTCTGATTGCGCATGAGTGATGTGCCCACTGTGCCCACCTCACGCTGGATGTATCAGTAATCTCGTGTACTGACGTGAGTCAGACGCTACCAATGTCGGCTACACAGGGGCGACCGGAAGCAATACACTGACCACAAAGCGGACGAGGAGCGCCGAGTAAAACAGTGATCGCCGAGCTCGGTTTTGCGAAGAATACGCAGATGTTTCACCGTCCATTATCTCAGCGTAGGAGCAATATAGGGCAAGCGGTTTGTTTATGATTAACAAGGATAGCGACAGCGGATCAATAATCCGCAAAGATCGTTCAAAACTAAAAACGGCAAATTTTCTTAATTCGACTAATACTGCCAAACAGGTGGTTCAGCATTTCACCGTTGTACGCTTCCCTCTATTATACGCTCTTGATTTAGCATACATGCACACACACGCACGCACGCACGCACGCACGCACGCACGCACGTAACATGCACAAGCCTCTGAAGCATTGAGTGCAATGAGCATGATTACTAACCCTTAAGTTAAGTTATGCACAACCTATCTCTAGAGCATGATAAAGGGTTTGTATGCCCTTATTAGATTGCACCCCTAAATTCAGAAGGTAATAATATGAAAAAGTCCGACTACATAAATAATCAAATAAATAAATAAATAAATAACGAAAAAAAAAATATATATAAATAAATAAAAATAAATAAATAAATAACCCCAACAGTATTAATTTTATCCTCAGCATAAACAAGGGTCACATCCTTTTTTTCGTTCCTACAACCTCAAATTTCTAATGGCCCTTCCTACAGAAATATATACTGTAGGCTATTCCGACTGAAGAG